CCTTTTGGACGAGTTTTTCGCTCTTGAAGGTACGGGGAATCTCGTCCACGTAGACGGATAACTCGTCCACTGCCCCAAGAGACGGAAAACTCGTCCGAAAGGCGGACAACTCGTCCACTGCCGGTTTTTTCGCGGAAACGGGTCTTTAGGTACGGGGAATCTCGTCCACGTAGTCCGGGACCTGGCTATCCACAAACTTCGTACCCCACGGGAGTTACCTGCTAGAAATATTGCCTCAGAATCGCATCCAGCAACAGACCACCCGTCTGCCGCAACTGTCTACCATGAAGGCTCTACATCTGCCCCACCCAATGTCAGCGCAACTCGCTAGGGATTCCAGGGCAGCCAACTCGGTTCCAGGTGTTCATGTGACTAAAATAAACTTCTCGACCTTAACTTCTTGCTACAACAAGATTTGGATTGTGTTCTCATCACAGAAAGCTGGTGTAAGCCACACGTAGTTCACGACGCTGTTTTGAGTTTAAACAAGTTCACAGGTGCGATTGTGACGGGGAAAGGACTGGAGGCGGTGTCTTAGCGCTCGTCCGTAAGGCCATTCCTCACAAGCTCATCACCAAAAAAGATTTCCAGGGTTTCGTTCAAACCATAATGATCCAGCTACGAACCCAGAGAGGCAAGATACTGCTGATTCTCACGTACCGAAGTCCTTCATGTTCTGCGACAGCCTTTTACGATTTCATTGACTTCCTTCATAACGTCTGCACTGAGAGTAGCGACCAAATCATAATAACGGGTGACTTTAACTTTCCCCTTATTGACTGGGTCAACATGACTCACAGAGGAAACGCATCGACACAATCTTCTACCTCGTTTCTCGAATTTGCAAAATCGTTTGATTTGAGTCAAATTGTAAGGGAGCCTACTCATGGGCTTAACGTTTTAGACATTATACTGGTCTCCCGTCCTAGCCCCGTCACATGGCATCGTGTCTCACCTCCTTTCAGCACTGCTGATCACAACTCTATCGAATTTGAAATATCACGTGGTGACCCACTTTTTTCGGAAAAGCGCAGATGGCATCGCAATTTCTCAAAAGGTAACTACGAAGCCATAATCTCAGCCCTATCTCAAATTGACTGGGTTTCTGTCAGCAACACCTCTGAAACGATAGATACCTTTTACTCCAAGTTCGTTAGCATTTGTGACCAGCTCATAGAGAAATACATTCCCTTAACACGTCAGGCCAGGCAACAGGAAAAATATCCAAAACGCGTATATTTTTTGAGAGCAAAAATCAGATATCTTCACCGGAGAGTCTCTTCTGTAAATGACGCCCAATACCGTGTTTGTACGCAGCGCCTTAAGCGTGCTCTTGCACGTCATCAGATAGCAACTGAGAAAAAGTTAGCAGCTACCAAGAACTCCAAGCGTTTTTACTCCTATTGCAAGAAAAAACTCAAGCTCATGGACTCCATTCCTAATTTAGTCTCTCGAGAAGGAGTCATTGTTGAAGATGACGCCGCTAAAGCAAACTTGTTTGCTGATTATTTCAAGTCCGTTTATAAAGTGAGCCATGATACCGGTGCTAGTCATCAGTGATAGGTGCTAGTCTCCCGCCTATCACTGATGGATAGACATATTAAATGACGTGGTTTACAATGCGCTTCGAAAGCTTCTCAATAGAGCGCCGACATCTCGGACAATATTCCCTATATTTTTTGAAAAAACTGTTCAGAGGCTCATGTCCCCCTGATGTTCAACAGGCTACTGCTCCACGGAAAAGTTTTTAAACTATGGAAAGTTGGTCTTGTGCGACCAATATTCAAGAAGGGTTCTAAAGACTGCGTATCGAACTATAGGCCAATATGTCTAACCAGCTCATTCAGCAAGGTTATGGAGCAAATGTCGCAAATTAACATCTTACCTAAACGAGCGAAACCTGCTGCACCCGAGTCAACATGGATTCCTCAGGCACAAGTCAACTACGTCAGCCCTCATGTCTAACAGTTCCGCTATGGCATAGAGAAATGGACCAAGGAAACTATGTTTCTGTTTGTTACATTGACTATGCCAAAGCTTTCGACTCTATCTCTATCCCCCTGCTTGTCAGGAAACTCGCTGCATACGGTATCAGAGGCCGACTACTCGAATTCCTTCGATCCTTCCTCAGTGACAGAGAACAGTCAGTGAGGATTAACGACAGCTTATCCTTCCCTTATTCTACCCCCAGTGGAGTTCCTCAAGGGACGTGTTTAGGGCCTCTAATGTTCATTATATTTATCAATGATTTGAACACTTGCCTCCCGTCTGGTTCCTTTTGCAATATGTATGCGGATGATGCTAAAATATACACGATCAACAACTGCTGCTTGCTCCAGAGTGCGCTTGACGCTATACAAGTGTGGTCTAGAATGTGGTCTTTGGAGATTTCGCTTTCGAAAACAACAGTAATGGGGTTGGGTCGCACTCATCCTGAATTCTCCTTTACTATAGATGGCAAGCCGTTGACTCGGGTTCACCAGGTCCGCGACCTGGGGCTGACCTACAGCGACAAACTAGATTTTGAGAGCTACA